TTAGCAAGTAGCAACAAGTATTACTCTCTAAGTAAAGGGTGGGTGGGCGGATATAGAACTTGCTAACATATAAGTCTTGTTTTGGCAGATGACAGATCTTTTGAGAGCATAGGGGGCGGGTGGGTGGGACTAGTACTTGTTAAGATAAAACTGAAGTTGGCCCTGTTAATCTTGTAAAAACTTGAAATTTCTGATAAAAAATACAAAGGGTGACGAAAATCCTATTAAAATTAGAGTTTTTTAGAAGTAGAACACGCCATTTGATGGCTACTTTAAATATAGTCTTCGATTTAAGGTAAAATCAGAAGGAGCTACCAGACTTCTGGCAAAATCATCGCTTTTATTACATTTTCACTCTCTATTTAATGAATCAAACATGAAATTATACTAAAAATATTAAGTTTCAGTTCACGAGTGGCTACAGATCGTGTGATAAATGTTTTAATTCCATTTATTTTTCTTCAATTTTCTTTCGGTTCTGTAAAGTTGACGATAATTTTTTATTAAAGTAGCATATTTTCTAGCTAAACAATTTAATATAAGCAAAAACTATTACGACAAGCTGAGAAAAAGTGTTTTTTTTTTATTTTTAAGCGTGTCCGACGATTCCTGATTTTTTTTAATTCCGTGACACCTGTTTAAAAACCGCTTGATTTTTTCCCTGTCCATAAATCTCGTTTTTCCGTCGGCTTCCTGCGCTTCCAGGAAAAACCGGCATCATCCTCTCGCGCCGTATTCAATAATACCCTCGTAATCCCATATTTCCTGCAAACAATAAGTTGCGAACTAGAATCCTGGGAGAAGGCAGCGACCAGGATCTCGGTATAGATCTTGATACTAAAGGTTAGCAGCAGTCCTGCGGCGCACCAATGAGGTCTGAGGCAGCCCCGCCCGACCAATGAGGCGTCTTGGAATCAACCCTTTCCCTCATTAGCAATCTTGCCTCACCGCCGCCACCGCAACTCCGCTGGTCCGCTGCAATATCATGCGATACGTTCGAGGTTACAGTTTCAGGCGGCTTTGCGTTCGGTTTACGTCTCCACTTACGGTAACGTCTTGTTTGTGCCCCGCCATCGACCGGAAAAATCCGGCCTTAATTAAAAATCGACTGCCGGCCGAGTAACGGCTAATTCCGAAAAGAAGCGGCTTAGCGAGGAGTAAATACGGCAATTCGAAGGCAGGGGCGACGAATTAAAACAGCCCTTAAAGATAAGCTCGGCGCGTAAAAAACATCCCTTTACAAGCGAAAAACTTCGTTAGGATCCCTTCAAGGAAAAACTTCGTTAGCCCGGACTCGGTGTTAACAATACGGGGGATTTTTACCGAGGCTCGGATAGATTCCCGGTTCACTTGATTGCCGCCGTAATGAGGGGCGGAATGACATTTATCTTGCAAGGGTTTAGCTAGGTGTTGGGGCCGCGATTATTCAAACCCTTTAAAATGGAGCAAGACTAATGCCGGAGTCGTATTAAAGGGGTGCAGGCTAAGGCCGACCGCTTCGTAAATCTTCGCCTTAGCACGGACAACACCCACAACTCACCTACGAGGAAGCCGAAGAGAAAATCTCAAAAGAGAACCGACAAGACGGACGGAGAAAAACACCCTTTTTGTGTCCTGACTACTTCCAAGCAATTCGGTTAAGCGATTTCGGACTTTGTTTGACAAATCAGGATTAAGATCCTGTCGAGTGAAGCTTAAAATAAAGCCAAACTAAGTCCGACTCTGAGAAACACTCATTTCATGTTTTCTCCGACACGAAAGTGTCGCTTCCCCGTTTCCGTCTGTCTATCTTTTAAACGTCTATAGATTTTTGGAAAAAAATCGATATAGTACAAAACAAATGAAAACTCCGTTAGAAATTACAAAACCGAGTGCTCTAAAATCCTTGAAACGTTTTAAAAATCACTGAAAACAATTGATTTGTTTATCCCCTCTTAAATCATGATGACGTCATTTAAAAATTTTGGCACATAAATTTTATTCTACACTTGTGTTTTATCGTCACAGCCACACCTTAAGTCAAAATATGCAACTTTTCGATCTGATCTGATCTAACTTGACTTGAGCTGTCCTAACCTGATACGTCTTAAGCTGACCTGACCTAACTAAACTTGACTTTACTAAAATTTTTCTATGAAACACACTATACATTCCCTGGAAGACTAAATAGGGAGGAAACAGTGTCCTTTTTCATTATAAAATATTTCTAGAGATTTTAAAACGTCTAGCAAAAATATCTAGATATACAAGTTGTGAACTCTTCCACTAATTTTTAAGAATGCGGTCAATTTTGGTTTTTCTGAAGATAAACGTTTCTTTAAAAAATGTTTAAACATCTATAGGTTTTTGAAAACAATCTGCCAAGATAAGACTGAATTTGGTAAATGCAAACCCTCTAAAAAAATAAAGGGTGGGTGGGCGGGGCTTGTATTTGTTAAGAATAAGCTGATTGTGGCAAATAAGATAAACTCTAACAAAATAAAGGGCGGATGGGCAGGGCTAGTACCTACTAAGATAAGATTAATTTTGGTTAATGATTTTATTCCCTTTAAGGAAATAGAAGGCGGATAGGTGGTGCTAGAAGTTGCTAAAATAACGACCTAACCTGACCTGACCTGAGTTAACTAATATTTGTGTATGAAATACATTATACATTTCCCGGAATACTAAATAGAGAAAAAGGAGTGTCCATTTTCTTGTAAAATATTTCTAGAGTTTTTAAAACGTCTAGCAAAATATCTAGATATATATAAGTTGTCAACTGTTTCACTAATTTTTAAGAATTGCGGTCAATTTTGGTTTTTTCTAAAGACAAACGTTTCGTTAAAAAAATTTAAACTTCTATAAATTTTTGGAAAAAATCTGTTAAGATAACACTGAATTTGGTAAATGCAAATTCTTTACAAAAATAAAGGGTGGGTGGGCGGGGCTAGTATTTGATAAGGACTTGACTGACTTTGGTAAATACATATCCTCTAAAAAAAAGGGTGGATGGGCGGGGTTTGTACTTGCTAAAATAAGACTGATTGTGGCAAATAACATAAGCTCTAACAAAATAGAGGGCGGGTGGGTGGGGCTAGTATTTCCTAAGATAAAACTGATTGTGGCAAATAACAACGTCTAACAAAATAGAGGGCGGGTGGGCGGGGCTTGTACTACTTAGATAAGATAAGTCAGGTTAGGTCAGTTCAGGTCAGTTCAGGTCAGGTCACATCAAGTCAGGTTAGGTCAGGTCGTTATTCTAGCAACTTCTAGCTCCACCTATCCGCCTTCTATTTCCTTAAAAGGTAAGTCATCTACCAAAATTAGTCTTATCTTAGTAACTACTAGCCCCGCCCACCCGCCCTCTCTTTTGTTAGAGGTTATGTTATTTGCCACAATCAGTTTTATCTTAGCAAATACTAGCCCCGCCCACCCGCCCTCTATTTGTTACAGATTATGTTATGTGCCACAATTAGTCTTATCTTAGCAAGTACATGTAATGACTTAACTAAGATTTGTCTATGAAATACACTATACATTTCCCGGAAGACTAAACAGAGAGGAAAGAGTGTCCTTTTTTGTTGTAAAAAATTTCTAGAGATTTTAAAACGTCTAGCAAAAATATCTAGATATACAAGTTGTCAACTAATCCACTAATTTTTAAGAATACGGTCAATTTTGGTTTTTTCCACAGAAAAACCTTTCGTTAAAAAGATTTTAAACGTCTATAGATTTTTGGAAAAAAAATCTGCTAAGATAACACTGAATTTGGTAAATGCAAATCCTTTACAAAACTAAAGGGTGGGTGGGTGGGGCTAGTATTTGCTAAGGACTTGACTAATTTTGGTAAATACATATCCTTTAAAAAACGGGTGGGTGGGCGGACCTTGTGCTTGCTAAGATAAGACTGATTGTGGCAAATAACATAACCTCTAACAAAATAGAGGGCGGGTGGGCGGGGCTTGTACTACTTAGATAAGATAAGTCAGGTTAGGTCGGTTCAGGTCAGTTCAGGTCAGATCAGTTCAGGTCAGGTCACATCAAGTCAGGTTAGGTCAGGTCGTTATTCTAACAACTTCTAGCTCCATCTATCCGCCTTCTATTTCCTTAGAAGGTAAGTCATCTACCAAAATTAGTCCTACCTTAGTAACTACTAGCCCCGCCCACCCGCCCTCTCTTTTGTTAGAGGTTATGTTATTTGCCACAATCAGTTTTATCTTAGCAAATACTAGCCCCGCCCACCCGCCCTCTATTTGTTACAGATTATGTTATGTGCCACAATCAGTCTTATCTTAGCAAGTACATGTAATGACTTAACTAAAATTTGTCTATGAAATACACTATATATTTCCTGGAAGACTAAACAGAGGGGAAAGAGTGTCCTTTTTTGTTGTAAAATATTTCTAGAGATTTTAAAACGTCCAGCAAAAATATCTAGATATATAAGTTGCCATCTAAACCACTAATTTTTAAGAATGTGGTCAATTTTGGTTTTTTCTACAGATAAACCTTTCGTTAAAAAGATTTTAAATGTCTATAGATTTTTGGAAAAAAATTTGCTAACATAACACTGAATTTGGTAAATGCAAATCCTTTACAAAAATAAAGGGTGGGTGGGTGGGGCTAGTATTTGCTAAGGACTTAACTAATTTTGGTAAGTACATATCCTCTAAAAACGGATGGGTGGGCAGGGCTAGTACTTACTAAGATAAGACGAATTTTGGTAAATGACTTATACCCATAAGGAAATATAAGGCGGATAGATGGGGCTAGAAGTTGCTAAAATAACGATCTGACCTGACCTGACCTTAACTGACCTGAACCTACCTGACCTGACTTAACTTAACTTAAGTTTGTATATGATATACATTATACATTTCCTGGAAGACTAAATAGAGAGGAAATAGTGTCCTTTTTTGTTGTAAAATATTTCTAGAGACTTTAAAATGTCTAGCAAAAATATCTAGATATATAAGTTTTAAACGATTGCACTATATACAGGATGTGTATTTTTTCAGGTATAGCCCACCATTTGGCTGGACTTCCGGGACCTCCACCCGACTGGGCGATGTTGGGAGGTCGCCACCCCTACCCCCCGGGCCCCTTCGTGCCCCACCACCACCCCCATTTTCCACATCATATGTTTGCAGCGCTTGACCGTCCAGTAAATACATCACCGCGAATAGCAAACGGTAAGTTTAGTTTCCGTCAAGTTACCTGTGAAAAAGCGCAAAAACAATTAAAAAAACCGATAGCAATCTATCATTCGAGCTAAATTATTGGTTGCCTATCTGTCAAGAGCAAAAATTGTGAAAAAGTTTGAAGAAGTGAGGTTATGATTGATTTCATTCATAAATGACACAGTTTCTGAAGAAATAAGAAAATTTTGGTTTGAAATAATTATCAAAATAATCAATCACTTCGAGAAAAATCTTCGCACTATATTATATGACCCAACTCACATAGAGTGCTTAACATTCAGTTCACTCAATTAAACCAAAACGTTGAATTCTTCATTACATTGTTAACAACCCCCATTTCAATCGACAACAATTAATTGTTAATTATAACCAAAATGTCAATAATGTATTCATGATGAAAATACAACGATACAGAATTAATAAACTCGTGCAGAGCTCCATTCCCATAAATTTGTTATAACTTGTAAAATACGATTTTCCTGTACGAATTGTGCGGTCTTGTCCAAACAAACCACTAAAATATTAACCTTGATTTCAGACAATCCAAAAATGTATTTAGATAGCCATTTTTGTGTTCTTCCAGAGCCCTCATCTACCTCTCTGGGCCCCATCTCCATCAACTGCACCACCGCCCACAGCACCACCTCCCCCAAGACCTCCCCCGGCCAGGTCGGCCTGCTGACGACGGCGCCCCTGTCGCCACCTGAAGATGACATATCCGTAACGGCGTCGCCGACTCCGTCCCCGCAGCCACCGCCGGCGTTCCCCGGGGCGCCGCCGCCCCCCATTCAGAGCAATCAATTGTTCAATAACGCGCTGGCCGCCAGCCTGTTCCTGAACGCCCCCCTGCTGCCGCCCCCGGGCCAGTGGTTCTACTCGCAGTTCTACCCCCACGACTGGGCCTGGATGAACCTGCGGCAGCACTCGCTGCTGCCGAGAGGCTCGCCGCAGGAGGCGGCCCAGAACCCGGACAGCTCCGGGAGGTCGGAGGCGGTGGACGACGACGAGAAGGAGGCGAAGGACAAGGACGAAGGGATGAACCTGTCGCTGAATAAGTGCAGGAGAGCGGCGGTCACGCTGGTGCGGCAGAAGGAGGAAGTCAGTTCGAGTGATAAGGACCTGAAGTGCAACAGGCTGGGGGATGTGTGGAGGCCGTATTAGTTAGGGGTAGGAGTAGATTTTTTTAGAGGTGTTTGAGGTTCATGGTAGTCCTTTCGCCGAATTGGGGGTGGAGAGAAAGGGGGAAGGGTGGCGAAAATTTGAGGAGAGGAGGGGGTTTTGAAGATGTTTTTGTAAGAACGATTTTTGAAAACACTTGATCACGTTTTGACTTATGGAAATTAATTGGCAGGTATGTGTTTAAAAAATACATTCAGAGGGACTTTTTTCAGTATAGACACATGTTTAAAAAAAAAATGGTCAAAAATTTTGACAGTTGATTTAAACAAGAAAATTAAAGTAAAAATAAAAAAATCAAAGGAAAAGAGCTCAAATTACAAAACAAAACAAATATTGCGATTAATTATTAATATTGAAAATAAAAGATAAAAAAAATGTTAAAAGAAAAGATGAAGAAAATAAAAATGTATATATAACTCGACAAGAATATTCAAATGTCAAAAAATTTTGACATAAAATATTTAGTGAAATCGTGTTTTGAGTTATCTACTTTTTTTAAATCATAATTGAAATTGTTGGAAAATAACAAAATAGTCTTAATTTTACTAAAAAATAAAAATTCTGCGAAACGTAGTCAAGCAAGGTTGAAATTCGTTTTATGAGAGCGCTTATGTAAGACCGCTTTTTGAAAACAGTTTTATCACCTTTTGACCTATGGAAATTAATTGTCAGGTATGTGTTTAAAAAATACATTCAGATGGACTTTTTTCAATATAGACACGTTTTTCAAAAAAAAAAAAAAAATTGAATTTAAGTAGTTTCCTTGTGAATTTTTTTTTTTTTGAGTTTGTTAATTCGTTGTTACAACTGTGGTAATTTTTTATTTTCCACAATGGCCAAAAAAATTGAAAACAGTTCCATTTTGACAGTTGAATTAAACAAGAAAATTAACGTGAAAATGAAAAAATCAAAATAAAAGGACTCCAATTAAAAAACAAAATAAATATTCCGATTAATATTGAAAATACAAGATAAAAAAAATGTTAAAAGAAAAGATGAAGAAAATAAAAATGTATGTATAACTCGACAAGAATATTCAAATGTCAAAAAATTATGACATAAAATATTTAGTGAAATCGTGTTTCGAGTTCTCTACTTTTTTTTAAATCATAATTGAAGTTGTTGGAAAATAATAAAATAGTCTTAATTTTACTAAAAAATAAAAATTCTGCGAAACGTAGTCAAGCCAGGTTGAAATTCGTTTTATAAGAGCGCTTATGTAAGACCGCTTTTTGAAAACAGTTTTATCACCTTTTGACCCATGGAAATTAATTGTCAGGTGTGTGTTTAAAAAATACATACAGATGGACTTTTTTCAATATAGACACGTTAAAAAAAAATGGAATTTAAGTAGTTTCCTTGTGAATTTTTATTTTTTGAGTTTGTTAATTCATCGTTACAACTGTGGTAATTTTTTATTTTCCAAAATGGCCAAAAAAATTGAACAAAGTTCCATTTTGACAGTTGAATTAAACAAGAAAATTAACGTGAAAATGAAAAAATCAAAGTAAAAGAACTCCAATTACAAAACAATATAAATATTCCGATTAATATTGAAAATACAAGATAAAAAAAATGTTAAAAGAAAAGATGAAGAAAATAAAAATGTATGTATAACTCGACAAGATTATTCAAATGTCAAACAATTTTGGCATAAAATATTTAGTGAAATCGTGCTTTGGGTTTTCTACTTTTTTTTAAATCATAATTGAAATTGTTGGAAAATAACAAAATAGTCTTAATTTTACTAAAAAATAAAAATTCTGCGAAACGTAGTCAAGCAAGGTTGAAATTCGTTTTATGAGAGCGCTTATGTAAGACCGCTTTTTGAAAACAGTTTTATCACCTTTTGACCTATGGAAATTAATTGTCAGGTATGTGTTTAAAAAATACATTCAGATGGACTTTTTTCAATATAGACACGTTTTTCAAAAAAAAAAAAATTGAATTTAAGTAGTTTCCTTGTGAATTTTTTTTTTTGAGTTTGTTAATTCGTTGTTACAACTGTGGTAATTTTTTATTTTCCAAAATGGCCAAAAAAATTGAAAAAAGTTCCATTTTGACAGTTGAATTAAACAAGAAAATTAACGTGAAAATGAAAAAATCAAAATAGAAGAACTCCAATTACAAAACAATATAAATATTCCGATTAATATTGAAAATACAAGATAAAAAAAATGTTAAAAGAAAAGATGAAGAAAATAAAAATGTATGTATAACTCGACAAGATTATTCAAATGTCAAAAAATTTTGGCATAAAATATTTAGTGAAATCGTGCTTTGAGTTTTCTCCTTTTTTTAAAATCATAATTGAAATTGTTGGAAAATAACAAAATAGTCTTAATTTTACTAAAAAATAAAAATTCTGCGAAACTGAGTCAAGCAAGGTTGAAATTCGTTTTATGAGAGCGCTTATGTAAGACCGCTTTTTGAAAACAGTTTTATCACCTTTTGACCTATGGAAATTAATTCTCAGGTATGTGTTTAAAAAATACATTCAGATGGACTTTTTTCAATATAGACACGTTTTTCAAAAAAAAAAAATGGAATTTAAGTAGTTTCGTTGTGAATGTTTTTTTTGAGTTGGTTAATTCGTTGTTACAACTGTGGTAATTTTTTATTTTCCAAAATGGCCAAAAAAATTGAAAAAAGTTCCATTTTGACAGTTGAATTAAACAAGAAAATTAACGTGAAAATGAAAAAATCAAAATAAAAGAACTCCAATTACAAAACAAAATAAATATTCCGATTAATATTGAAAATACAAGATAAAAAAAATGTTAAAAGAAAAGATGAAGAAAATAAAAATGTATGTATAACTCGACAAGAATATTCAAATGTCAAAAAATTTTGACATAAAATATTTAGTGAATTCGTGTTTTGAGTTCTCTACTTTTTTTTAAATCATAATTGAAATTGTTGGAAAATAACAAAATAGTCTTAATTTTACTAAAAAATAAAAATTCTGCGAAACGTAGTCAAGCAAGGTTGAAATTCGTTTTATTAGAGCGCTTATGTAAGACCGCTTTTTGAAAACAGTTTTATCACCTTTTGACCAATGGAAATTAATTGCCAGGTATGTGTTTAAAAAATACATTCAGATGGACTTTGTTCAATATAGACACGTTTTTCAAAAAAAAAAAATGGAATTTAAGTAGTTTCCTTGTGATTTTTTTTTTTGAGTTTGTTAATTCGTTGTTACAACTGTGGTAATTTTTTATTTTCCAAAATGGCCAAAAAAATTGAAAAAAGTTCCATTTTGACAGTTAAATTAAACAAGAAAATTAACGTGAAAATGAAAAAATCAAAATAGAAGAACTCCAATTACAAAACAATATAAATATTCCGATTAATATTGAAAATACAAGATAAAAAAAATGTTAAAAGAAAAGATGAAGAAAATAAAAATGTATGTATAACTCGACAAGATTATTCAAATGTCAAAAAATTTTGGCATAAAATATTTAGTGAAATCGTGCTTTGAGTTTTCTACTTTTTTTTAAATCATAATTGAAATTGTTGGAAAATAACAAAATAGTCTTAATTTTACTAAAAAATAAAAATTCTGCGAAACGTAGTCAAGCAAGGTTGAAATTCGTTTTATGAGAGCGCTTATGTAAGACCGATTTTTGAAAACAGTTTTATCACCTTTTGACCTATGGAAATTAATTGTCAGGTATGTGTTTAAAAAATACATTCAGATGGAGTTTTTTCAATACAGACACGTTTTTCAAAAAAAAAAATTGAATTTAAGTAGTTTCCTTGTGATTTTTTTTTTTAATTTGTTAATTCGTTGTTACAACTGTGGTAATTTTTTATTTTCCAAAATGGCCAAAAAAATTGAAAAAAGTTCCATTTTGACAGTTGAATTAAACAAGTAAATTAACGTGAAAATGAAAAAATCAAAATAAAAGAACTACAATTACAAAACAAAATAAATATTCCGATTAATATTGAAAATACAAGATAAAAAAAATGTTAAAAGAAAAGATGAAGAAAATAAAAATGTATGTATAACTCGACAAGAATATTCAAATGTCAAAAAATTTTGACATAAAATATTTAGTGAAATCGTGTTTTGAGTTCTCTACTTTTTTTTAAATCATAATTGAAATTGTTGGAAAATAACAAAATAGTCTTAATTTTACTAAAAAATAAAAATTCTACGAAACGTATTCAAGCAAGGTTGAAATTCGTTTTATGAGAGCGCTTATGTAAGACCGCTTTTTGAAAACATTGTCAGGTATGTGTTTAAAAAATACATTCAGATGGACTTTTTTCAATATAGACACGTTTTTCAAAAAAAAAAAATGAAATTTAAGTAGTTTCCTTGTGAGTTTTTTTTTTGAGTTTGTTAATTCGTTGTTACAACTGTGGTAATTTTTTATTTTCCAAAATGGCCAAAAAAATTGAAAAAAGTTCCATTTTGACAGTTGAATTAAACAAGAAAATTAACGTGAAAATGAAAAAATCGAAATAAAAGAACTCCAATTACAACACAATATAAATATTCCGATTAATATTGAAAATACAAGACAAAAAAAATGTTAAAAGAAAAGATGAAGAAAATAAAAATGTATGTATAACTCGACAAGAATATTCAAATGTCAAAAAATTTTGACAAAAAATATTTAGTGAAATCGTGCTTTGAGTTTTCTACTTTTTTTTAAATCATAATTGAAATTGTTGGAAAATAACAAAATAGTCTTAATTTTACTAAAAAATAAAAATTCTGCGAAACATGGCCAAGCAAGGTTGAAATTCGTTTTCTGACCTTTTGACCTATGGAAATTAATTGTCAGGTATGTGTTTAAAAAATACATTCAGATGGACTTTTTTCAACATAGACACGTTTTTCAAAAAAAAAAAAAATCGAATTTAAGTAGTTTCTTTGTGAATTTTTTTTTTGAGTTCGTTAATTCGTTGTTACAACTGTGGTAATTTTTTATTTCCCAAAATGGCCAAAAAAATTGAAAAAAGTTCTATTTTGACAGTTGAATTAAACAAGAAAATTAAC